GGTTGAGAACTTGATCTTAGTATGTTATGTGAAGGCTCCAAGGGTCCCTATAGATTCTACTTTCTGTTTCTTATATGTCAGTGTGTTTTGGCTGGTGAATTCATACAAGAAAATGTATCACATAACTTGTCCTATAGAAGACATGATCTCCATCTATTTCAGGGAAACGATTCATAAAACACAAAGACATCAAAAATCTTTCTAACTAAGGGCTCTGAGATATTAAATACACTCTGTGCAATACAGTGATTAATCATTTTAATCTCTGTAAACTCACTTGTTTCAGTCAATTCATCATAGCATTCAGAAAGGACTGAAAATATCTGTGTATTCTGATAATATCAAATGGTATCACCAACACAAAGTTAAATAGACAACATATTCTTTTATTTCATTTTACATATTTATAATGAACATTATGAAATGAAAGTATTGCTATGCAGCAGTGTCTCTCAGCAACAGCATCAATAAAGGAATCAGATATCATAATGTTTACTCAACACACTGAATTGAAATATTCTCTCAATAAATGGCAGTAGTTGTAGTAATCATGCTTTTCTCTCTCCAGAAGATGTGGATAATTGTGTGAGGTGTCCAGAGGACCAGTATGCCAACAGAGAACAGAACCAATGTATTCCAAAAGCTGTGGTCTTTCTGAACTACAAAGACACCTTAGGGATGGTTCTTACCTTAATGGCCTTGTTCTTCTCTGCATTCACAACTGTGGTTGTGGGGATATTTGTGAAGCATCGTGACACTCCCATTGTGAAGGCCAACAACCAGAATCTCAGCTACATCTTGCTAATTTCACTCATCTTCTGTTTCCTGTGTCCCTTGCTTTTCATTGGGCATCCCAACTCAGCTACCTGTGTTCTGCAACATATTACATTTGGAGTTGTATTTACTCTGGCTGTTTCCACTGTGTTGGCCAAAACAGTGACTGTGCTGCTTGCTTTCAAAGTCACAACTCCTGGAACAAGGATGAGGTATTTTCTGGTTTCTGGTGTTCCCAACTACATCATTGCCATCTGTACGCTCATCCAAATTATTCTCTGTACAATCTGGTTGCAATTTTCTCCTCCTTTTATTGACAAAGATGTGCACTCTGAGCATGGCCAAATCATCATTGTGTACAACAAGGGCTCAGTTATTGCATTCTACTGTGTCCTGGGATACCATGGCTCCCTTGCATTAGGGAGCTTCATTGTTGCTTTCTTGGCCAGGAATCTCCCTGACACATTCAATGAAGCCAAGTTGCTGACCTTCAGTATGCTATTGTTTTCCAGTGTCTGGATAACCTTTCTCCCTGTCTACCACAGCACCAAGGGCAAGATAATGGTGGTTGTGGAGGTCTTGTCCATCTTGGCTTCCAGTGCAGGCCTACTGGGATGCATTTTCATCCCCAAGTGCTACATAATTTTGTTAAGACCAGAGAGAAATTCTCTTCAAAAGTTAAGGGAGAAAACATCTTGCTGAACAAACATTTCATAAATTGTAATTGACAATTACAGTATTGGCTCAGAAGCACCTAATACAATACAATGCAAACTATGAATGGCTAATAATTCTCATCATTTCTTCCAATGATGAGGCACAGCAATGTCATGTACACTACTTTTCTGTACAATTTCATCTATAATGATCCACACAGCCAATTATTTTATAAGATTCAATTTTTTACAATTAGTGTACATGAGATGTATTCCTTTATTCCTCAATTCCCCGGCAACATTAAAATTAATGCTCAGTAATTCTACTGATAAAGGAGTGAATGTGGAATTTTGAATGCAAATGAAAACGGAGAAATCTTTTAGTAGAGTTAAATATTGCTATCAGATGGAAAAACTAATATGCTCATTTTTGGAGCAAGAAAAGTGAATACCATTGCATCCTAGGAGTTGGAGGAGTAGAATTTAGGAGAGAGAGAAATGTATGATAAATAGATATAATGGATATTGAGGAAGATGAAATCTTTCTCCACATTTAAATTCATGTGTGCTTTTTCTGAGGAAATAAGTTCACTATCCATTCCTCACAACTTGCAGTCCCTATAACAATAGCTCTAATAAACGGGTTGCACTCTTCTGAATTCCAAAACATGTACATTCAGATGTGCATATAATAACACACTCAAAAACCAAACATACTCCTTATTGAAGTTAAAATAATTTTTAGAATTGAATTTATATATCACTGAAATGGAACACTGGCTTATTTTATTCCCTTCATTAACTATATTTTTTCCCACATAATAGTCCCTGCCTTCTCCTGCCTTTATTCCTTTAGCCTTCCATACTCCTTCCCATAACCCCTTTATGTTATTTTACCCACTGCTTCTATCTCTCACTGAAAAATAATTTTCTACAGGAAAGTAAAATATTAATACTCAGATTAAGAAAAGCTAACACATTAAGTTAGGTCAAAATGAAGAAACATGAGGAAATATCTAAAGAGAATCAATGAGAATCAGTCCCATGCATTTGCACACTCATGAATCCCATAAAATTTAACCTGAAACATAAAATAAATATTCAAAGTATCAGTATGATGGAGGAAGGTCATTGGCTAATAAAGGCACTGCCCTGGCCCATTTTATTGGTTAGAGGATAGGTGGGAGGAGAAAACAGGACAGAACACTGGGAGGAAGAGGAAGTGAGGTCGGAGTCTACACAGCTTTCCTCTCAGGAGCAGACGCCTGAGAGAGACGCCATGCTCCGCTCCCGGCATGAAGACCCAGGATGGACTAGGCTAGAATCTTCCCGGTAAGACCGGTTCTCACAGATTATTAGAGATGGGTTGATCGGGATGTGAGAATTAGCCTGTAAGTGCTAGAGCTAAAGGGCCAAGTAGTGTCTAAAAGAATACAGTGTCTGTGTAATTATTTTTTGGGCATAAGCTAGCCGGGCAGGCGGCCAGGGGTGCTGAGAACGCAGCCCTGCCGCCCCTATTACTTCATCAGTATGTATCGGCGTAAATGAATGCAGAATATTGTAATAATATATACAGCTTTAATGGAGAAATAGACTTACAGAACCACAGGTTCCCACGGAGAACAGGAAAACAGAAGGGGTGTTGGGCTCATGCTCGCCAGATTTATATGTAAACATTAGCCCGAGGCGAACATGCCCCCTAATGGACTGGGCTCATCCCTACATCTCCCCCTTTTGTCTAAATAAGACAGAACTAAACAAAATACAACTATATACAATAGTAACAAATAATAAATATAACAAACAATATTGAGAACAAAAGTTTTGCTAAACATTCTATCTCAAGAAGTCTAATGTAGAGAATACCTACAATAATATAATCTTCAACTCCATCAAAGATCTGAGAAGGGAATAAATATTATTTAACAAACGAAAGATATCCAAAATGTGCAACAATTGACAGAGACAACTGACTACCTGGGCAATCACCCAAAGTCTCGTTTGCAATGTTGAGTTAACCAACTTTGGCTAAGGCCTAACATAACTGACATACCATTATTGAAGGCAAGGAACTTTCTTAGAACTATCCTACCCTGTCTTGGCAGGATAAGACTATCCTGTTTCATCCATTTATGGATACTCTGTATCTTTGTCAGAAGTTGAGGTATGGGCTTTTCTTAACCCAAAGGCCAGTTCTGCCAAGAAGACAAGCTCCCAGTGGAGTGTCTTTGGTGCTCAACGTTCTCTCGGGAGTAGAGTGGTGTTGCCAGGAGTAATTGTGTCTCGTTGGTACAGAATTCTAGGTTACATTAAAGGCCATTTTCTACAGCTCTTCGAAGAGGCTGAAGATTATACTATCTATACTAAATATAATCTCTATGTATCTAAAAGAACTGATTAACCTAAAAATAAATATGACAAACATATAATTCTCAATACCAATCTAACTTGAAGACTAAGAGAATAAACAACTGTGCAATATATGAAAACAAAGATCTTCAACTGTAGACAATGTTATTATATAAATAGTATCAGAGGTAGAAATGTACATTGTAATATGGTAGATGTATCAATACAATATAGATAAAGTTATAAGCATACTCTTTTTTTTATTTTTATTTTTTTATTGAGAAAAGGAGAAAAAAAAACAAGTTTCCACCTCCTCCCAGCCTCCCATTTCCCTCCCCCTCCTCCCCCCCTACGCCCCCTCCTCCCACCCTTCTCCGCCTCCCCCCACTCCTTTCCCCCTCCCTCTCCAGTCCAAAGAGCAGTCAGGGTTTTCTGCCCTGTGGTAAGACCCAGGACCTCCCACCTCCGTCCATATCTAGGAAGGTGAACATCCAAACTGGCTGGGCTCCCACAAAGCCATCACATTACGTAGGATCAAACCCCCGTGCCATTGTCCTTTGCGTCTCATCAGCCCTCATAGTTCGCCATGTTCAGAGAGTCCGGTTTTATCCCATGCTTTTTCAGTCACAGTCCAGCTGGTCTTGGTGAGCTCTCAATAGATCAGCTCCACTGTCTCAGTGGGTGGGTGCATCCCTCGTGGTCCCGACTTCTTTGCTCACGTTCTCCCTCCCTCTGCTCCTCATTGGGACCCTGGGAGCTCAGTCCAGTGCTCCAGTGTGGGTCTCTGTTTCTATCTCCATCCATCACCAGATGAAGGTTCTATGATGATATGCAAGATATTCGTCAGTATTGCTCAAGGATAGGGTCATTTCAGGTTCCCTATTCTCAACTGCCCAAGGAACTAACTGGGGACCTCAGCTTAGGCACCTGGGAGCCCCTCTAGGGTCAGGTCTCTTGCCAACCCTAAAGTGGTTCCCTTAACTAAGAATTGTGGCTCCGTGCTCCCCTGTCCAACCTTCCTTTATCCCAATCCTCCTGCTTTCCCAAGGCCCGACCTCCTTCCCTTCTAACTTTTCTCTCCCCATCTCCCCTTACCCCCAACCCACCCCACCCCAAGATCGCAATTTTCTCCCCGGCAATTTTGTCTACGTCCCTTAGCCAAGAGGATAACTATATGCTTTTCCTTGGGTTCCCCTTCTTACTTAGCTTCTTTAGATTCACCTATTGTAGACTCCGTGACCCTTATTTATGGCTAGAAACCAATTATGAGTGAGTACATCCCATATTCATCTTTTTGGGTCTGGGATACCTCACTCAGGATAGTGTTTTCTATTTCCATCCATTTGCATGCAAAATTCGAGAAGTCATTGTTTTTTATCGCTGAGTAGTACTCTAATGTGTAGATATTCCATACTTTCTTCATCCATTCTTCCATTGAAGGGCATCTAGGTTGTTTCCAGGTTCTGGCTATTACAAATAATACTACTATGAACATAGTTGAACAAATGCTTTTGTCATATGATAGGGCATTTCTTGGGTATATTCCCAAGAGTGGTATTGCTGGGTCCAGGGGTAGGTTGATCCCGAATTTCCTAAGAAACCGAAACACTGACTTCCATAGTGGTTGCACAAGATTGCATTCCCACCAGCAATGGATGAGGGTACCCCTTCCTCCACAACCTCTCCAGCAAAGGTTATCGTTGGTGTTTTTGACTTTAGCCATTCTCACAGGTGTAAGATGATATCTCAAAGTTGTTTTTATTTGCATTTCCCTGATTGCTAAGGAAGTTGAGCATGACCTTAAGTGTCTTTTGGCCATTTGAACTTCTTCTGTTGAGAAATCTCTGTTCAGATCAGTGCCCCATTTTTAATTGGGTTAATTAGAATTTTAAAGTCTAGTTTCTTGAGTTCTCTATATATTTTGGAGATCAGACCTTTGTCTGTTGCGGGGTTGGTGAAGATCTTCTCCCAGTCAGTAGGTTGCCTTTGTGTCTTAGTGACAGTGTCCTTTGCTTTGCAGAAGCTTCTCAGTTTTAGTAGGTCCCATTTATTCAATGTTGCTCTTAATGTCTGTGCTTCTGGGGTTATACATAGGAAGCGATCTCCTGTGCCCATCTGTTGTAGGGTATTTCCCACTTTCTCTTCTATCAGTTCAGTGTGTTCGGGCTGATATTGAGTTCTTTAATTCATTTGGACTTGAGTTTTGTGCAGGGTGAAAGATGTGGGTCTATTTTCATTCTTCTACAGGTTGACATCCAGTTGTGCCAGCACCATTTGTTGAAGATGCTTTCTTTCTTCCATTTTATACTTATAGCTCCTTTATCAAAAATGAGGTGTTCATAGGTTTGTGGGTTAAACTCCGGGTCTTCTATACGATTCCATTGGTCGACTTCTCTGTTTTTATGCCAGTACCACACTGTTTTCATTACTGTAGCTCTGTAATAGAGTTTGAAGTCAGGGATGGTAATGCCTCCAGAAGATCCTTTATTGTATAGGATTGTTTTGGCTATCCTGGGTTTTTTGTTTTTCCATATAAAGTTGATTATTGTCCTCTCCAGATCTGTGAAGAATTTTGATGGGATCTTGATGGGGATTGCATTGAATCTATAAATTGCCTTAGGTAGAATTGCCATTTTTACTATGTTGATCCTCCCAATCCAAGAGCAAGGTAGATCCATCCATTTTTTGGTATCCTCTTCAATTTCTTTCTTCAATGCCTTAAAGTTCTTGTCAAATAGATCTTTCACTTCCTTGGTTAGATTTACCCCAAGATATTTAATGCTGTTTGTGGCTATCGTGAATGGTGAAGCTTCTCTGATTTCCCTCTCTGCTTCCCTATCCTTTGTGTATAAGAGGGCGACTGATTTTTTGGAGTTGATCTTGTATCCTGCCACATTACTAAAGCTGTTTATCAGCTGTAAAAGTTCTTTGGTGGAGTTTTGTGAGTCGCTTAAGTACACTATCATATCATCTGCGAATAACGAAAGTTTGACTTCTTCCTATCCAATTCGAATCCCCTTGATCCCATTATGTTGTCTTATTGCTATTGCTAGAACTTCAAGTACTATATTGAAGAGGTATGGAGAGAGTGGACATCCTTGTCGTGTTCCTGAGTTAATCGGGATGGCTTTGAGTTTCTCTCCGTTTAATTTGATGTTAGCTGTCGGCTTGCTGTATATAGCTTTTATTATATTTAGGTATGACCCTTGTATCCCTAATCTCTCCAAGACTTTTAACATAAATGGATGTTGAATTTTGTCGAATGCTTTTTCAGCATCTAATGAGATGATCATATGGTTATTTTCCTTCAGTTTATTTATATTCTGGATTACATTGATAGATTTTCGTATGTTGAACCAGCCCTGCATCTCAGGAATGAAGCCTACTTGATCATAATGGATAATTTTCCTAATGTGTTCTTGGATTCGGTTTGCCAGTATTTTGTTGAGGATTTTGCGTCGATGTTCATGAGTGAGATTGGCCTGTAATTCTCTTTCCTGGTTGAGTCTTTTTGTGGTTTTGGTATCAGAGTAACTGTGGCTTCATAAAAGGAATTAGGTAATGACCCTTCTGTTTCTATATTGTGGAATACATTAAGGAGTATGGGTATTAGCTCTTCTTGGAAGTTCTGGTAGAATTCCGCATTGAAACCATCTGGTCCTGGGCTTTTTTTGGTAGGGAGGTTTTTGATAACAGCTTCTAATTCTTCGCGACCAACAGGTCTGTTTAGATTGTTCACCTGGTCCTGGTGTAACTTTGGTATATGGTATTTATCTAAAAAAGTGTCCATTTCTTTTACATTTTCCAGTTTTGTGTTATACAGGCTTTTGTAATATGATCTGATGATTCTCTGAATTTCCTCTGTGTCTGTGGTTATGTCCCCCTTTTCATTTCTGATCTTATTAATTTGCGTATTCTCTCTCTGCCGTTTGATTAGTTTGGATAGGGGTTTATCAATCTTGTTGATTTTCTCCAGGAACCAATAAGCATACTCTTATACAAAAATAGAGGTAGAAACACACACATTCAATATTCAGTGTATCAATATACAAGAAACAGTACCAATACAATGTTCTAAAAACAATAATTCACAAATACCAATCATCCCATCAAACCAGTTAATCCCCCCCTTTTTTTGAAAATACCCCTAACTCCATAAAATATCTCCCCATCCCCTCAACCCTAAACCAACCACTAAATGATGTCCCTAACCCTGAGGGCAAACTCTGTTGGGGGAGGGGAGGTCATCCTCTAAGATTGCTTCTAGCTGACATGGGGGTGATGTTCTTCTTAGGGGGTCCTGTGAAAGCAAATGATGGTAAAATTCCCAAATTAACCTTTGACCTAAGAAAATTGTAACTAATCTCTGAGCGTTTAGATAAGGTCCAGCCAGAGTGTTGTCAAAAATGTGCATCATTGGAAATTGTCTCGTGCAGTTGGTACCAAAACACAGGTCTAATATTAGCGCTTAAAAAATATTCATGATGTCATAAAAACCAGATTGAGTTGATGTCGTGGGGCCCCGTCTTCATCCTGGAAACTTTAAAGATTACTGTAGGAAAATTTGTTGCTTGTTATGGGAAGTTTAAACATTAACAACAAAGACATATACTGACATATAAAGAAAGACACAGATATGAGGAAGGGCAAAGAAAGTTTATCAAGTATATAATTATTCTTATTCTGTCCCATTTCTTGGCTCCTGACCTGAGACAAAAACTCTGAGATATCTCTTATCAACAGGCTTGGAATTGAAGAGGGACTGAGCCATAGTCCAACTCCAAAACCAGCTCTACTTATTTATAAAGAAATGTTTAATAAGACATATATATATATATTATATATGTAATTAATACTTACAGAACATGTCCATCCATCAGTAATTAAATATTCAGGGTCCCTTAAATTCTTTGAAGATGAGTATTTTCCTGTGGAGATAAGAAAAGGACCCTTCCCCCAAACTATCTGTACTTTTTACCATCAGTATGCTTGCCATTTTTGTGAATGAATTGTTATTTATCTTTTCCAAGTGGCTTCTCTTCTTCAAACTGAACCTTTATTAATTTTGATGGTATCCACAAATTTTCCTCACCTGTGGAGACAAGAGCAAAACCCCTTCCCCAATGCAGCACATCTCCTGGCTTCCATTGTGAGGTCAGCTCATCCTTGAAATAAACTGGTTGATTTAGTTCAGTAGACTTTTCCATTATCCAATGCGTTTCTGCAGCCATTGTTCCCTTCTCATTAGCGTTGAGAAAATTCAAGGTTAACAAAGCATTATGTAACCTATTTCTGGGGGTGTTTTCCACCCCTTTCTGTTTGTTCAGCATATCCTTTATAGTTCGATTTGATCTTTCTATGACTGCTTGACCTGTAGGATTGTATGGTATACCTGTAACATGCTTGATATTGTAATAATCAAAAAGCCATTTCATTTTCCTAGAGACATAAGCAGGACCATTATCTGTCTTTATTTGTGTAGGTATACCCATGATAGCAATGACTTCTAATAAATGAGTGATTACTGAATCAGCTTTTTCTGAACTTAAAGCAGTTGCCCACTGAAAGCCTGAATAAGTGTCAAAGGTGTGATAAACATATTTTAATTTGCCAAATTCGGCAAAGTGGAACACATCCATCTGCCAGATTTCATTCCTTTGGGTGCCCTTTGGATTAGCCCCTACAGGCAGTGGCGTTTGGTTATAGAAAGAGCAAGTAGGGCATTTCTTTACAATCTCATTAGCTTGTTGCCATGTAGTAGAAAACTCTTTCTTCAAACCTTTGCTATTAACATTATTTTTTTATGAAATTCAGAGGCTTGTAGCACACTGCAATAATTGATCAATTTCTGCATTACCTTGTGCTAGAGGACCTGGCAGACCTGTATGGGATCGGATGTGTGTTATGTACATAGGGCAAAGCCTGTTCCTGATCATATCTTGTACCTGGATAAACAATGTGGTTAGTTCTGTATCATCAGGTATAAATTCAGCAGTTTCAATATGTAAAATAATTCTTTCTGCGTATTGTGAATCAGTGACTATATTAATAGGTTCTTTTAAATCCCTTAGCACCATAAGAATGGCATATAATTCTCCCTTCTGGACAGAATCATAAGGACTTTGTTCCACCTTACCCAAGTCTTCTGATTTGTAACCTACCTTCCCTGATTTATTGGCATCAGTATAAAATGTACAGGGTCCAGTTATTGGAGCATGATGGATGATTCGAGGAAGGATTC